GGCTTTCTCCCTCCGCCCCAGCCGGCCCTGCAGCCACTGCCCCGGCCGAGCGCGGGCGGAAAACGAAACCGCAGGCCGCTTCGCGGGCGCTTTGTCTCCGGCGCTGCAAGCGGGACCCGGCGAGTGGCTTCAGTTCTGGCAGCGCCACGAACCGCACAAGTTCCCTAGTAGGACGGCTGGTTCACTCATTCAGAAAGGCGCACCCACACGCGTGCATTAACACACGCTCGGAGCGCACACGCACTGATGCCCAAGCGAATCCCCGAATCACCAACTCAGACGTACGAACTTGCACCCAGTGCGCGCCCCACTCACGTACCCCAGGTTCCCACGGGAGCTGCCATTGCGATCGCCCTCATTCACACACACGCCACTCTCAGATCTGAACTAAAACAGCAAAGTCTCCTTAGAGCCCCCTCCCCCCACTCTCAACTCTGAAATCCTTTTTTTTGGCCCCGCGGCCCCGAGTCCCCTTTTACAAGCGCAGGTTCTGATTTCCTGAGAGATGGCAAAGTCCCGGGCAGGAAGTTTACAAGGCTCAACGTAAACACGTTCCGGGGGATCCTTTAATAATAAGAGTAGGGAAGCCTGCCGGCGCGGGGGGAGTTGGCCTGATGCCCCTATGGGCTCGGCCTGCCGCCGCCGCGGGGCCTCCCGACACTGCGCGCCAGGCCGGGTTCCGGAAAGCGGGCGGCGCTGGCGGGGAGAGCGGCAGGGAGCGGCCCTGACTGCGGGGTCGCGGCCGTGGAAAGCTGGTGCGTGATGCAGCACCGTGCGCGAGATCCAGCTAGACTCTGCGCGCCCGAAACCAGGTGAGTGCGGGCCTCCTGCCGCACAGACGCACAGACGTGCACGCAGGCCCTGCTGGCGGGGAGGGTGATGAAGGATGTTTTCGCTTGTCAGTGAGAGGCACACAGGAGTCAGGCTGCTGCGCCCTGGCGCGAGCTGCAGGGAGAGGTGTGTGTGGGTCTACTTCAAAGCCTGCCGGCCTCAAGTTTCTTTGGATTCCTGGTTCCCCATCTTCTCCCCACCCCCACGTCTTCAGCTTTGGTAGAAGGCTTCTTGTCGCCTTCTAGGCGCCTGGCACATCTGTGAAAGGAGCTGGTGGCTTGCTGACTTAGGTTGCCGTCTCTGTCGCTGCGTCCTTTGGTAGGGCCGGGTTTGCAGGACACTAGAGTCACCTTCCCGGAATTTTCTCCAGGACAGGCTTGAGAACTCTGTGGTCCAAACAAGGGAAAAGGGCCGAGGGGGGCATGAGTGCCTACATGCATTTATGTGTTTGCACACATAGATGCCCTGTGAGATGGGCTTCTGCTTCACACAGCTGGCCTAGCCAGCATACCTCAGCACCATCCACAGACTGCCCTGAACCTTCTCAGGGGACTTCTGTACAATTTAGGGGCCCCACCCTGGGGAGGACACACCATATGTAGTTTGCACGCTACTGGACTGTGCGTTCGCCCACACATAACCACACTATCACAAGAATGGGCCCTGTACGTCAGGGCACACCCCCCACCCCAAGCCACTCACTCCCATACTCCCACCTCTCTCTCTCTCTCTCTCTCTCTCTCTCTCTGGATCCTTAGGTTTTGTAGTGAAGAAGTTTCCTTTCCCAGGGAGGAAACTGAAGTCGGGGTTCCACTTGCCCTTCAGTCCTCAGGCCTAGACCCTAGAGCTGCCTGTTGAGGGTGGGGCCAATAGCAGTAGTCAGTCCCCATAACAGGAAAGAAAGGGGGCCCAGAAGCCCAAGGGTCACCTCAGTACCTACTTCCCACTAAGGAGGGACGTGAAAGTGTGTACCCAAGAGGGTAGGAAGCCCAGGAGCCTGGTCCTGTAGCGTGGAGGACCCCCTATGCAGTTAAGCTACATTTATAGCAGTGGGGGAAGGGCTTGCCTATGATTTCTGAAAAAAGTTAGCTCTCACTCTTAGGTCTCCCTAATTCTAGCGCTTTTGAAGGGAGGAAACAGGTTCAGTCTATCAGTGGCTCCCTTTGCTGGACAAGTACTACTCCAGGCCCCATAAACCACGGTCGCCACCCGACGCTTTTATTAAATGTCAACCACACCACCGGTTCCTTTTCAGATGGACTGGGATGGCCATGCCAGGCCCTTGTCATTTTTGTATAACCAGGATCGAGTCTGACTGCAGGAGCGGACTTGTGAGGCTTCCTGAGATACTGCGGGTGCCGCCCTCCACAATATTCCTAGTGTAGGACTTGAAGTTACAATTTGGGATGCTCTATTAGACCATTTTGTACTGTGCCAAGTTTATTCGTTTATACGCCGCTCCAACTGCAGCACCCACTTCTTAGGGTTGCGGCAGCAATGAATCGTGACTACAGGAAAGGACCTGTACATATCAAAGCCCCAGGAGCCCAGCCCAAGGGAGGCAGGGTCCGGGTTGTAGGAAGATATTTGCACTGGGTTGGATATCTACAAGACGCCCTCCCCATCTCAAATCAAGTCCCTACGCTCAGCACTGGCCCCAGGAATGCCTCCGTTTCGGGGAGGACGCCCCCACTCTCGGGGCCTCAGGTATCTGCATTGACTAATTGCTTAAGTGAAGCCGCCGGCCGAGAGCGCGCCCGGCGAAACCCGAGCGCGGAACCAGATCCTGCTTCGGCCGTCGGGCTGCGGGGCGCCGCCGACCACCCACAGCGAGGCCGGCAGCCCTGCTGCGCATTAGCGTGGCCAGGACCCCACGAAGGACTGCGCATCCCGGGGAATCGGGAGGGAACACGGGGGACGCAGGCCGAAGTGCAGGGGAGGCGACGGGGTGGAAATGAGCCTTCCGGCACCGGAATCCAGAGTTCTGCCTGCCTGCCGAGGCTGACCCGTGGGCAAAGTGCGCGTGTGGAGCAGGCACCAAGGACGGCCCTGGAAACTCGAGAGTGGGAGGTGGATGTAGGGGGACAAAAGGCGAACAAATAAATACCATCCCTTCAGCCCTGCCCAAGACTGGAGGACCTGGGTTTGGTGTGGTGGTCTCACATGAAATCAGTATTTGAAGATTCTGACTGGGCAGGGCTCCTTTTTAAGCCACCCACCGGCTTAGTTGGTAGAGTGATCGACTAAAATTGTGTACAGAAACAACCAATTCTATCCCTGGCACTGGTAAACTAAGACAGCAGTGTGGTCTGTAATTCCAGCGGGCTCAGGTTGTGGAGGCCAGAGAATCAGAAGTTCAAGGTCATCCTTGAATTTAGAGAGTTGGGGATCAGCCTGGGGTATCCGAGACCCTGCTCCCTCAAATAAATAACAGTTTGGACATCACACCCGGTTGTGTACGCAGAATGTTGGAATATGAGATGAGCACTGTAACGAGCCTGCAAGATGGAACTACTTTATGCCCAGTGGTGAGATGTGGTCAAGACTGCTTGTTACAGGTGGAATGTTCTGGAGTGTGTTCTAAACACGTGTCCAGCAGGCAGAATATTGTAACTCTGCAGGCCACAGAAAAAGTACTCTGGGGTGTCCAGAGTGCTGTGTGTGATTTCTGTCAAGTGTGTGAGATGGGTGCCTTTAAAACAAGGCTTTGATGCCGCCACTGGTATTGGGGTGCACCTCAAAATAAGGAGAGAGTTCTGATGGGTGTTCTGCCTAGCCAGGCATTAAGGGACTTGCTTTTGGTGGAAGTGAGGGAAACCGCAGCCTCACGGTGTCTGAGGCCTGCCAAGTGCTACCACCAGCTTCTAGAACCTATGTACTCTACCTTAGGAATGGGCTAATAATTCACTTTTTTAAAAAAAGGCTATGGATATAGCTTAATTGATAAGACAAAAGCAAAAACAAAACACCCACTTGTCTTGCCCCGAGTGTGATACCCAGAACCAGACAAACCAGGCTTGCTACAAACCTATAATCCTATTACTTGGGAGGTAGAGACAAGAAGATCGAAGTTCAAGGTCATCCTAAGTTACACAGTGAATTTAAGGGTAGCCTGGGCTACAGAAAACTGTCTAAACAAATAAATAAGGCTAACAAAGCTGGAGTTTGCTTCTTCCACTGGCCCTTTACCCCAAAGCGTCATTTTCCATGACGTCCCTTAGCGAAATATTTGGTGGCATTGCAGCTCCGGAATTTACAGCTCTTCCTTGAGAAGTGGTCTGGAGCTTTTTTGAATGATCACATCGTATTATTCCAAGAAAGAGAAGGTTCCAGCCTCCTTCAGGCTGGTTTCTGACACCTGGTTCTTAGGCAGCTCGTTCCTCCCGTGGAGGCACCCCAAGTATCTCCAAACATTTTTTTTTTTTTAATCCTGGCTGCCTGAGCCTTTGTACTTAGAAAGAATGTCACCGCCTGGTTTGCCTGGTGTGTGCGGCGTGTGTGTGTGTGTGTGTGTGTGTGTGTGTGTGTGTGTGTGTGTGTGTGTGGGTGGCAGCGCAGGGGGGGGAGAGAGAGAGAGAGAGACAGAGATTGACTGAGACCACCAGAGCCAGTTTCTGGTGGTAGATCTGAGCATGGGATCACTGATGACAGAGGGCTTGGGGTTTTCTAGAGAGAGAAGGACTGAGATGGAAGGCAAAGGGAGAGGAAGATGAGAACAAGCTTCCAAAACAAGCCAACATGAAAACACACATTAAATGTCAAAGACCAGATTTTTTTTTTATGTTGTTCAGGTTTAAGAGAGATAGAGTAAGACAGAGCATGCCCACGCACACACCATCTGCATGAACACCCCCAAGGGTCAGCAAGAGAGGCTACAGCCCTCTTGCCAAAATAGTCGGGACAGGGAAACAGGCTGGAATTTGTTTCTTAAAAATCAACAATTTGCTGCCAGGAACCTGCTGGTGTGCAGGTCTCACTCCCAAGGTGCCTCCAGCCAGCAGCCTGCAGACATTCATCAGAGTTGCCCCATTAAATGGCACTGGAAAGGGTGGAAACTGCCTTTGCAGGCAGAAATAGACACCACCCAGCCTAGTAGGCCCCCTAGTAGATAGGAGGGGCCTCACCTGCCAGCTCCCAGCAGAGGCCCAGGCTCTGCTCAGAAAGTGGAGGTGACACACTTTTCTCACAACCCCTGCCAGCTACAGTGTGGCTTTTCTCTTTTCTTTTTGTCCCAGCCGGGTTAGGATTTATGTCTGGTCAGACCTGCTTTGTGCATTCAGGTAAAAGAATAAACTAGGTGTGTGACAGTTTCAAGGGAAAAAAATGAGGTTGCCAAGGGGGTTGGGGAAGTGATGGCTGGCAATCCCAGAAGGCTGAGGCAGAAGGGTCTCCACCAGTGTGATGAAGAAAATAAATTTGGGGTGGGAAGTCAGTGGAGTCACCTGGAGAAAATGGGGGTGCTTGCTCCAAACTAGGGTAAGGGGTGAGTGAGGCTCTCACTGAGATGAGGACTAAGGCTCACCTAGAGCAGTAGCAAAGAGTAAGTATGGTGTCCGTAGAGAGGCTTGAAGCCCAGGCTGACCGAGAACTCTCAGGAAGATTCTGAGATTCTGTATGTCTGCGGCAGGATGGTGCCTCAAGGGAAAAGAAGTGTGTTCGTGTGTGTGTGTGTGTGTGTGTGTGTGTGTGTGTGTGTGGGTAAGATACACCTGTCTGTATGTGTGAACACTCCTGTGCATGTGCTTGTATGGTCTCTGTGTGTGTGTGCACGCGCCCAAGCCCACGCACACGAGCCTGTGTGTTGGTGAAAAACTTTGCTTTGAGTACTCCCTGTTGGCACAGATAGGCAAAATTACAGACCTGTTAGGGCACTTCCTTCAGTCTCCTGGTGCCTCAGTTTCCTCTTCTTGCCACCTGAGTAATGCCAGTACTCATCCCTGAGCTGACCCACGGATAAGAAGAGAAACATCAAAACTAGAGT